CATAGCCCAAAAGCATCTGTCAACCACATACCAAATTTAAGCAATCGTTAAATCATATACATGTCATGGAAAGAATATGGAAATCATGTTGAATGAAAGTTAGCATCGTGTATAATGTTAAAAGCACCGCATAGTGCTCGAACCACTGCGTATAATTGCAAAAGCACCGCGTATATAAATAGTGAAAGCACCGCGTATAATGCTGGAACCACAGCGTATAATGCGGGAACCACCGCGTATAATGGCGAAAGCACCGCCGTATAATGCTAAAAGCACCCAACAAAATGCCGTTTGATCACTTTAAGCCAGTTATGGCTTTCAATAAAAGAAGACCAAAGATGAAAGATGATCACATTGCCTGTTTGCTATGCTTGGCCGCGTTGCACCACGGTTAAAATTCACTGGTACCGTCATGCAATGCGCCAAATAGAAAATTTTGATTTCGACCCACAAAACAAAATTAGGACCTTCTGCCTTGCTCGCTCGCTTCAGGCTCGCTCGCTGCGGCAGCAATTAGTATTGTCTTACAGTTAATACCGTAAAGAATGAGGCCGAATTTCGATTGCTTATAGACCGATGTCAGCCAAGTTTCAATAACCAGTGGAAAGAAGAGATAATTCTGTACAAGATATGAAAGTTTTAAAAAATCCTATAGAATAGCAGCGGAGAAATTTATAGTTTAAAATGCTATTCTTGACAGTGCGCGCTATGTATCTATGTATCTATAATTAGTATTGTCTTATACGTATTAGTACAGTATAAGGCCGAATTTCGATTGTTTATAGATTGATGCCGCCCAAGGTTAAATAACCAGTGGAAAGAGGAGATAATTTTATACAAGATATGAAAGTTTTAAAAAATCCTATAGAATAGCAGCGGAGAAATTTATAGTTTAAAATGCTATTCTTGACAGTGCGTGCGCGCTATTTATCTATAATTAGTATTGTCGTACATATTAGTACAGTATAAGGCCGAATTTCGATTGTTTATAGATTGATGCCGCTCAAGGTTAAATAACCAGTGGAAAGAGGAGATAATTTTATACAAGATATGAAAGTTTTAAAAAATCCTATAGAATAGCAGCGGAGAAATTTATAGTTTAAATTTCTTAGCAAATTGTATTGAATATTTGTTGGCAGTGTGGATAGCTGTTAGGAAAGTATCGTTTTGGAGTGCTTTGAAATGCGTTTGTAGGTTTGTGTGCGGATAACCATAAAGGTACTAGTTAGCTAATGTGACCTGCATGGTTTATTTCTCCCAAATTGATTTGGGAATAAAGAAATGGCTGTATTTATCATTTTGACTTTTGAGTGATTGAAATTAGTTAATTTACACGACATCGAATATCATGTTGAATGTCATGTTGAATCTCATGCGTACTTCACAGTGGTGAAGAAAATGCACAAAACATTTTATGCATCAATGACCACCGACAATGGGCATCGCCGATGTTTACGTTCAATGTGAACCAGGCTTTAGTTCAAAATCTTTTATTCTTTCCAACACAATGCCTGTATAATTGCGCGAATTATGATAAAAGTTATTCGTATTTGCCGCCATCTTTGACACCTAAAATCAATATTCACCCCCCTGAAATATTGTTTGAAAAATGCTGTTTCCTGTATATCAAGGTAACAGTTACCGGGGGGTGGTGCAGATAAGAAATACCACAAATTTCAACAGATGAAATTTCTGAAAATTTAAATATTTGTATTGAATGTGGCACGATCTTGCTGAATTTCGTTGAAAGAAAGACCCGTTAACTCTACGATTGTATTTGTGGAATGATTTTGCAAGTGTGAAGCTTTAAAATCGATGAGATCATATGCATGATTTAATATCGTTGTTTATACACAAATGTCAGCTATCTCAACATGGCTTCGAAATTTAGATGTGATAAGCCATGAAGGTGCTGTTGTCTCGCAAAATATACTGAAGATAAGGGCGAGGATGAGACTCATAAAAGGTATGAACTTTATATTAATGTGTTTCTCAAGATGGCGGATGTCAAAATTTCCCGACTCTGGAGTTGATGCATGTAAAGTCAAATTCCCCTCACTGGGGCTTCATAGTGTGGTCAAAGTCCCCTTGGTCGCCCGCAC